GTGCTAGTTCTGTGTATAGTATATTTTTAACAGTTTCCTTGTGAACAAAAACTTTAACAAATTCTTTTTCATCGAGAAAAAAAAATCAGCCCAACGGATTAAAACACACTAGAAATATTGAATTTTTTAATAGCCTAGTTATTGATAGACCATTCTGTATATATGGGAAAAGGTATACTTGTCAAAGTTGACGTTTTTGTTTATATTGAATATTCTGCAATTAACCTGAAAAAAATTCGAAATTTTTTCAAAATAATTTATAGAATTAAGACTAATAAAACATTTGAAATGTAACTGAGAGATTTATGCTCAGTCGTTTTCTTTGACATTTCTTTAAAATTACTGAGTTTCGTCAATACTCTTGAGATCTTCATTATGTTCACATCTCAATCTGATTTTTCCCTCTTCATAACAAGTTCTTATTATAAAAAAAACAATGTCTTTCATTTAATTTAAATTAAATTTATAATTTCTATTTAGGGAAAAACATCAGATGCTCTAACAAAATTATTATCATTACAACCTCCACAAGGAACATTAGTTCGTTTAGATGAACAAACTGGTACAATTATTGAAGAAAAAACTATTCTTGCAAAACTTATTCAACGTAATGATATATTAAAAGTCTTACCTGGTGGAACAATTCCTACTGACGGTCGAGTTATTGAAGGTACATCAACATGTGATGAATCATTATTAACCGGTGAAGCAATGCCAGTTGAAAAAACTGTTGGTTCACAAGTTGTTGGTGGAACAAAAAATCTAAATGGAATGTTATTAATTTGTGCAACACATGTTGGTCATGAAACAGCACTTAAACAAATAATTAAATTAGTTGAAGAAGCACAAACATCAAAAGCACCTATACAAGCGTTAGCTGATAAAATTGCAGGTTACTTTGTACCTGTTATTGTTGGTCTTTCTGGTATTACATTGATCTGTTGGCTTATTATTGGTAATAGTCATTATAATCAAATAGAAAAATACTCAATGGTAAAGAATTTGATTTCAGGTTTTTTTTTTCTCTTCAATATAATTTATCGAACTTTATTTTAGTATCATCATTCTATTTTGAGACATCATGAAGGAAAAGTACCAAGTCGAACGGAAGTTGTGCTTGAATTAGCTTTTCGTTTTGCTATTACAGTTCTTTCAATTGCTTGTCCTTGTGCTCTTGGACTTGCAACACCAACAGCAGTTATGGTTGGTACTGGTAAGTAAATTTTTGATCTAAGAATACTTTTTCAATAATTAAGACATCTAATATTGTTTAAGAGTGTATCATACATCAGGTATGAGATCACAAGTCTGATTATGTCTATGTATTGATAATAAAGAACTGAATTTAATAAATAGAGAAACGTATTAATTACTTCATTTTTATTTACGTATAATAATTATAAATAACAAACTACTAATCAGTTACTTTAAAAGAATGTTAATTTTCTTTGGTTTTTTTTTTTGTCATAGGTGTTGGTGCTTCCCAAGGGATTCTTATTAAAGGTGGCGAACCACTAGAAGCTGCCCATAAAATTCGTACAATTGTTTTTGATAAAACAGGTACAGTAACTGAAGGCAAACCAACAGTTGTCGATACACGTTTATTTGTTCCAAATGATTCCTATTTGACATTAACACGAATGTTAGCAATAGCTGGTACAGTTGAAAGTTGTTCTGAACATCCATTAGCTAGGGCTATACAAACATATTGCCAAAATTATTTTGGCTGTGAACAATTGGGCCATTGCGAAGATTTTAATGCTATTTGGGGTTATGGTTTAAGTGCGAAAGTAAATGGAATTGAATTTTTAATTAATAAACATATTGGATCAAGTGATACTATATCTTTACGTGATACAATTTATTCCGTTTTAATTGGAAATCGTGAATGGATGGAAAGAAATAATATTCATGTGACGAACGAAATTGATTCAGCTATGTCAAAACATGAATATGATGGACATACTGCCGTATTAATTGCTATTGATAGTAAATAAAGATAAAAAGTGGTTGAAATTTTGTTTTATTTTTAAAATCTACATTTTAGATAAAATTATTGGTATGATTGCAATAGCTGATCGTGTAAAATCTACTGCGGCATTGACAATCTTTGCTCTTCAGTCAATGGGTCTTAATGTTTTACTTGTTACTGGTGATAATGTTAAAACTGCTCGTGCTATAGCTGCACAAGTTGGTATAAAAAATGTATATGCTGAAGTTTTACCTACTCAAAAAGAACGTTTTATTGCTATTTTAAAAGAAAATAGTCGTAAAGGTGATAAAGTAGCTATGGTTGGTGATGGTGTAAATGATTCACCAGCTTTAGCCCGTGCTGATGTTGGAATTGCTGTTGGTACAGGAACTGATGTAGCTGTTGAAGCAGCAAATATTGTTTTAATTCGTGATGCACTTGAAGATGTTCTTGCTGCAATACTTTTATCAAAAAAAACTGTTCAAAGAATAAGATTGAATTTTTTATTTGCTGTTATTTATAATCTTATAGGTATACCAGTTGCTGCTGGAATATTTCTTCCGATTGGTATCTCCTTAATGCCATGGATGGCAGCAGCTGCTATGGCTTTATCATCAGTTAGTGTTGTTATGTCATCATTACTTTTAAGAAAATTTCGTAAACCAAATATACAAATGTATGCTAATCAAGAATTTATTTTTTGGTCAATGAATAAAGAAAAAAATATTATTGTTCATCGTGGAATTACTGATGTTGAACGAATACCTAATGATTCATTTATTTCAAATTTACGTGGAAGTCGTTTAGCACAGATCTTTTCTGGTGCTGTATCAGCTATAAAACAACAAGCATCACATTCATTTTATGATAGACAAAAAGCCGCATTATTACTTAATACAAATTCACATGATGAAGAAGCGGAATTGCAAGTGCTAGCATGAAAATAATTGCCAAAAAAAAACCCAACGAGTGTTTTTTTGTAATATACCTGTGATTAAATGTATTTTTTGTCTTAATATTCCTTTATTTGCCTTTGCAAATTTACCGATTATCTTGTGTCTGTTTTTTTTTATTAATTTATGTTTTGTATCACGAGATCAACTTCATATCCATAAAATATTGTTTCACTCTTTTTATATGCATATATAATTGTCTTAAAGAAAATAAAATCTAAATGAAAAACAAAAGCAGCAATGGACATTTGTTCATGAAATCGATTTTTTGTTTGTTCATCTTGAATGAACTAATTAAGTAACTATTATTCTACTTATAATAGAAGACCAATGTCTTCTAATACATTTGAGCGTATGAATTTTTTGTGACACGACATTTGCTCGCTGAGACATCTTCGTCCATGACACTATCGCGCCGACATTTACCACGCAACATGAATTTTTTTCTGGTTTGTTTATGTTAAGTTAATCATTCTCTCAAACTTCAGTTAACTGTTATGGGTGTGGAGATAGACGTAATTGTGAATAAGAACGAGGTCTCTATTCTACCCATAGCCCACATTCGTCCACATTCCAAATATGCTCAATGAACTTGACATAATCGAAACCTATATCAAATTAACTTTCGTGCTATAAATCTAGAAAATTTCGCATACGATGTTAATTCATATTGCTCAGCTAGGACAGCTCCTGAAAAAACTCATTAGAAAAAAACCTAACCTTCTTCTTTTGGCAAAAAAAAATTTATGCTAAGTTAAAGCCCATTGCAAGGATTATCAGAACATGTATAAATCTCGATATCGAATTTTTCTCGAAAAGCCGACTTTTCTGAGGCATGTGGTGGCTTAAAAGCGTCTCTTGAGCAACCAGAGTAAAGTTATAGATAAGTCGATACTGTGATAACAATTCTGTTAAATTTTGTTCATGTAACGACTAATCATACAGTGTCTTTTTTAATTCTTTTAATAAAGTTTCTAGTGATTCATAGTTAGAGCATTATTTTTATATTCTGCGCTACTTCAGAGTACTACAGAAGACTTTGAGCCAATACACACGTATTTTGAACTTCTTCAAGCTACTTTAAATGCTTTAAATTACTCCCAGTCACTTCAAACTGTTTTAAGCTACTTTAAGTTAAGTCAAGATATTTAGAAGTAGAGTTAATGCACTTAAAGCGAACGCATTTTACATAGGTGTGTATTGTGTCTCTCATATCCCCGTCATTCTACATCCTAAAACTATTATTTTTGTAGTACGAGAAAGAGCATAAAATTTTGCATCTTCTCATATAAAGAAAAAGTTCATAGCTGCCAAAATAATTGAGTAATGAGTGAGTGTGGATGACGGCACTATTAAAGCATAGACCTCCTACACCCACACCCAAATTTCGATAGAAAGATTATGTTCTTGGAAGTTCACAAATATGTGTAAAATGTCGCAGCTATAATGAAATAATGTTCAACCTGATTATGGTATATCATTTTTGCATATAATGAATTTATGTCGAAATATGTGAACTCAAAAAGAAAATTTGTAACTATCGAAAAGAAAGTCTTTCATGGCTACTATTGCGCATGGAATCTCAATAGAAAAAAGAAATGTATCCAATATAACTATGTCATTCTACTACGATTGTGCCATAGCAAAAAAAGCAAAAACATGATCTGTACTCGTACTAATATCGGCTATAATATTAAATATTGTTAGGCTTGAAAATGTTCAAGGAAAAATATTCCGTTGTATCAATACTTGTTAAGTCAATATTTATAGATTTTATTCGTCCTATCTTAGTGATTAGAAAAGAATATATAAGACTAATTGTGTATACGTGTTCTGATGAAGACATCTGATCGAATGTCTGTCTATTCATATTGAAGACAATATTTCATTGGTCTATTTCAATAAAACGTTATCGTGCTAAAGATGCTCTCTTTTAAAATTAAAACGTGCTCATCGACTGAATTTATATCATCTTTGGAAACACAGCATTGAAATAGTGAGAAAATACAGCAGATAATACAAAGTCACAAAAAATAGACTTGGAATTCGAATATACACATGCGCATGTGCTCCGTTTACAATGTCGTCGCTTGAAGTTCTATTTCCTCTTGATAACTATGAGTGACCGATCGATTGTCGTTGAAGAGAGCAGCTGTCTTCTTATCTTCATCCATCACAGCATTTTTAACTGCCTTTATTGAGTTAGACACAATTTGTGAGAGTCGACTACCTTTAAGACTGGATATAAGGCTCGTTGTTTTCTTGCGATTATGTGATACTTTATCGATGCCACGTCGAACTATAATATCTGATGATTTCTTCTGTGACCATTCACGAAATCGATTGTCACTGTTATATTTATCCATAGTGGGCTTGCGAAAGTAGCGCAAGAGTAGCGACGAAATGACGACAGTCACTGAAGAAAGAGCCATCGCAGCTGCAGCCATCCATGGCATCATTCGAACACCAGCAGGAAGAAGTACACCTATGCGAGAAATAGTATGGATATGATAAAAAGCTTATTTATAAATATTCTCAATTAATTAGAAAAAGAACATCCCAACAATTTGTACATTTATCGAACTTTTCCTCTCCTTTTTCCTAATCATCATTTCAGATGCAGGGAATAATAATAATGACAAAGGGAACTATTTTGCTCTATTGATCAAATAAATCAAAATAAACATTTTTCTAATCAAGGAGGAGATGAAAGAATATTGATGACACTATATAAACCAATATGACTATGGTTCGATTCACAAACTTCTAGACGATATAGCTATATGTCATACCTGCAGCAATCGGAATGCCGATCAAATTATATGCACTGGCCCAGATAAAGTTGAGTCGAATTCGCCAGACAGTCTTCTTCGAGAGCATAATGGCAGCGACAACATCAAATAGTTCATCTCGAACAAGTACAATATTAGCAGCTTCTATGGCAACATCAGCTCCTGTGCCTACAGCAATGCCAACATCAGCCCGAGCTAGTGCTGGTGAGTCATTGATTCCATCACCCACCATAGCCACTTTATTCCTTGAACCCATCTGTTCTTTAAGCTTAGCAATAAAGCGTTCTTTTTGTGTAGGCAACACTTCAGCATAAACAGTTTTGATTCCAACCTGAGCAGCAATGGCTCGAGCCGTCTTGACATTGTCACCCGTCAATAAAATGGTGTCCAGACCAAGTGATTGTAAAGCATAGATAGTGAGTGGAGCAGATGCCTTGATTTCATCGGCTATAGCCAATATGCCTACCAATTTGTCTTCACAAAGATAGAGATGATAAAGTGTACATTCATCTTCTGTAAAACTTACTGTCAATGGCTATCAAAATAGCCGTATGGCCGTCGTGTTCATGTCGTGACATGATTTTATCGATACTATCAGCCACCTTGAGATTATTACGCATCATCCATTCTCGATTTCCGATGAGAACCATATAAGAACGTGATATATTATCGTCAGATACAAGACATTCGATGTCAGTGACACGAGCTGTCAGGCCATAGCCCCAAACGGCTTTGAAATCATGACAGTGGCCTAATTGATCAGAACCAAAATGCTCTTTACAATGAGCTCGAACGGCCAAGCCAAGCGGATGTTCTGAGCCACTTTCGGCCGTGGCTAATACAAGTGAGAATGATTTTAAGTTTAAAATTGAGAATCTGATAATAAAGCTGTTAGAGTAATTCCCAAGGGGGAAACGGCGGACTTTTGGACTTGAAGTTACTTTGAGCTACTTTAAGCTACTTCAAGTTACTTTCAGTTACTTGAAGTAGCTTACTTTAAAGTATTTTTCAACTTCAAATTTACCTGAAGTTACTTGAAGTTACTTTAAGCTACTTGTTCCTACTTTGGGCTACTTGGGTGGTACTTTGAGCTACTTCAAGTAGTCTACTTTGACGTACTTTTCTACTTCAAGTCCGCCGTTTCCCCCTGGGTAATTCCCGTAGGATTAATATATGAAATACGATGTAGTTAGTGTTGTTAATTACAGGAAGATTATTCTATTCTATTTATTTTAGGACATATTTCTTCATCATCCTTTTACTTAATCCTTTAGAAATCTAATAAGGAAGTAATTCACATATTATAACGGCGATACTATTGACAGACGATCTGTGATTGTATATCAACAACGTCTGTCACGTCTATGATGAGGTATTCCTAACGTGCAAAAGCTAACTTACCTGCAATAGCCAACATCCGATCGAGTGTTATATGTTTATCCCGTATAAAAATGTGCTTGTCGACAACATTAGGTTTTCCCTTAGTAATTGTTCCTGTCTTGTCAAAAACAATTGTATGTACCCTACAAGCCGATTCAAGAGGTTCTCCACCTTTGATCAGAATACCATTTGATGCGCCCACTCCTATAATTATACGCTAAGTTACATACAAGTTTCTTGAAGTTAAGTAGTCTATCATTACAACGATCTACTATTTCATTGGCATTCATTAACTCGAACAAAAAAAAATATCGACAAAGAAAATATCGAAAAAATAAATGTCGAAATAGCTGTTGTCAAAGCAAAAGATGCCACAAAAATATCCCAGCACGTTCTCAAAAAATAATATTAATTTTTTATCTTCTCCTCTTGTCAAGCAATTATGTTTTGTTAAGTTAATAGCTTTCTAAAATAGATTATTATAAAAAATGAATAAGGACAACGAATTCAAGTCTTTTGTTATTGTATGTTGTCAGATAGATTCCATTTCTTTTTAAACTTTG